TGTTTAATGAAGATATTGGCCTATAGGAGGTAACTAAAGTGGGATCTTTAGCAGGTTTATGTAAAACTATTATGGTTGCTTGTCTCCAAGAAGTGGTAGTATACCAAATTGTATAATATGGCTGCAAGCATTAGCCAATGGTTTTAGTAAATCAGCTGTGTATTTCTTGTAAAAATCATAAATAAGACCATCTGGTCCAGAAGCTTCGTTGGTTTTTAAATTCTTAATAGCATTTAATACTTCTTTCTCAGTGATAGGATTCTTCATTGTTGTTTTATGTTCTTGAGAGAGTTTATTATTGTAATATTTTTCTAAATATGTATTTATTAAGTCAGAACTTGTAGTTTTAGAGTCATATAGTCTCAAATAGCAAATTACCTTGCTTGTCTTTAATAGTTGTAATTATTTTTGATTCTCTTTTTTGTTTCACTCTTCTTAAAAATTTCAGTGCTTTAGCTGTGTTTTGCCATGATTTTTGTTTTAAAAATAATAAATTATGTTGTATTTGTGTATAATGTCTAGGGTATCTAACAGAGATAACAATTTTCTATATATTTTAGTGTTTCCTTTTTTATGAAGAGTTTCTAATTTACTTATTTCTGTTGGTAATTGTTCCCTTCTTTGTTGTTTTTGTTTTTTCAGACAAGCAGCTTTGGATATCAGATCACCTCTTAGGACTAGTTTGAATGCATCCCAAATAATAGTTGGTGATATATCTTCTGTGGTGTTATCAATAAAATAAATTTTTATAATCATTTCAACTTCTGCAACTATTGTTTAATGATTCAGTAAAGATTTATTTAATACCCATGTTGTTTGTTTTTTCTCAAGGTTTAATAAAATAGTGTAATCAATCAAATTATGGTCTGAGTAGATTGCACATTACTTTTTTTTTTTTGATTGCACATTACTTAACAGAGATGGGGAAAGTAAGAAAGAATCAACACGTGTATATGTATTATGTCTTTGTGAATAATATGTGCAGTCCCTTTCACCTTTATGGAATTGTCTCCATACATCAATAAGAGGAAATTGTTCTAATATCTCTGCAAAGGGAGTGAGTATCTCTCTCATACTTTTGATCAGGAGGGCAATACTACACCTTCATTTTTAAGCTACCCTTAAGGCCAGGCATCTTTTACTCATAATGACTCCATTACCCATAATGACTCCATGATTCCACCTTCTCATCCATGGTTCGAGACCCCTAATCTCTAGATGGCTCTACCTACAGACTAGCTCTAGTACTGCTCTGTAGGAAATGGGACTACAAACTCAGGGAAAGCAGGTTTTGCAATTAGGAATGTTGGGTTTGCATTTGTTTATAGATCCTGAAAATGTTCTTACTGGTAACATTATATCTAAACATGGTGGCTATTTAAAATAAAATAATAGAAAATAAATGTGTTAATTTTCTGAAGTGTTTATACATTTCATAAGGAATTATTTCAGGTTAAAAGGTCTAAAATAAAGACCATTAAACTAGTTTGCTTTGTAATGGGTTTGGGAGTAGAATCATAAAAATTTCAGCTGTAAATTTTAGAGAAGACATCAACTTAATACTTTAGTTGAAAAAAAATAATAGCCTAGGGAAGGGGTGTCGAACTCATTTGTTATGAGGGCCGGATCTGACATAAATGAGACCTTGTTGGGCCGGGCCATGTGTGTCATAAAATGTAATGCCAGGTAGTGGAGATATAAACTTTATAAAGGACACAAACACAAACTTAAAATAAAAACATGCTTTAAACATTAGCTCTCTTGCAATATTTTGTTTCTTTAACAGTGTCTGATAACTGACACCTCTTGCTCTAAATGATTGCATCAAAATGCAATAAAAATAAAAAACCTACGTTGATGCAGCAACAGTAGAACTGGAAGAAGAAGAAGAAGCAGAAGACAGCCAGTTCCACTGTGGGCCTGATAGACCCCTGACCTAGGGAATATTGTTTCAAAGAACATAGCTGTATTATTTTATTTATTTATTTACTAATTAATTACACTTATATCCCACCCTCCCCGCGAGCGAGCTCAGGGCGGCTTACAAACAGGGGCAGCATGTGCCAAATATAAAACATTAAAACAGCATAAAAACAACCATATTTAACAATAATAAAGTGCTCAATGATGTTACCAATTTAATCAAATCAGGATGGTGACCTATAGATGTTACCCAAAAGCCCACTTCAACGACACTGAACCATCACAGTACTGTAGCTAGATCTTTGTACTGGGCCATTCCATCGCCCCGTTGTTACCACAAGTTAATACTCTCAAATACTTTAATTTTCATGGCTAGTAATAGGAGATAGCCTGGATAGAGTTAGTATGGAATGTAGGAGCAGTCTTGCCATGAAAAATCACTGGAAAAATTATCAGTAGACCACTGCCCCAGAGGGCTGCCCTTTTTTGAGCCCCTCCACTCCCAGATGCTCCCCACCCTCATTTCTCCTCCATCCATGGGGTGCTTGGTTGCCAGCGTTGCCGCAGTCTTACTCTAGTCCTCTGCAGGGCTGTACCAGTCGCCTGGCTTCAACAACTCTCCCTGACAGGTGTATCATTACCTAGACCTGTGGTGCTTTGACTCTTGCTTTGTCCACCCATGCTGTCTGCCTCCAGCAGATGCAGCTCATCACTGGCTGACCCTACATGGGCCAGATGGCTCCTGCCATACCACGTCAGCAGGGGATGATGTGTCACAGCTGCCAGAGGCAATGAAAATGAAGCAGCATGGACAATTGAAACAGGACTCCAGTTTTAAATAGAGATGTTCAAACTGGACAGGACATGAATGAAACCAAACTGCTGGGTTGGTTCATGTCCTGTTCAGTGTTCCCTCTAAGCTGAGTGAGTGTGAGCTAGCTCACAGTCTTTTAGCCTCCGGCTCACACATTTTTGTCTTAGCTCTGGAAGGATGGCCTCAGAGCAAACTAATTTATGCAGTAGCCAGATCGCTCTCAACTTTAATGCCAGTAGCTCACAAAGTAGAATTTTTGCTCACAAGACTCAACAGCTTAGAGGGAACAGTTGCAAACTAGGAGATAGTTTTTATAATGATTGATTGGACAATTCACTGACCCAACTGTGGATGTTTGGCAGGTTGTTCACTGTATATGCCTTCCCAGCAGTACAATACAGTGCAATTGGCTTTTCATGCAGCTAAGGCACCATTTTCTCTGCCATGTCAATGGGAAGCTTTATAAAGACTTTTTAAAAAATTGGCAACAGCTACTGCAGATGTGCATACTAAGTACTATTGCTGTGATTTTTGAATTCCCAGCTTTCACTTTTTGTTTTAAAAAGTAAGTCCTTGCAACAAAAAGTGCTAGAGACTAATTTTTAAAAAAGTGAAAGCAGGGAATTCAGAAATCATGACTACAGATTGCTAGAATGTTAGTACATGTTGCAACAGCAATTACTATTTTAACAAAGTCCTCCAGTGACACAGCAGAGAGAAAATGGTATCTTGTTTTTCCAATACAGCCATAAACAATCACAGATAACAGTTAAATCAGCCACAAATTACATAAAAAATAGTAGTTCAGCAGTTCGAGACCCGAGTGCTGCATGGTGGAGTGAGCTCCTGTCTCTGATCCCAGCTCCTGCCAACCTAGCATTTCGAAAGCAAGAAATTGCAAGTAGATAAATAGGTACCACTTCGGTGGGAAGGTAACAGCATTCCGTGTGCCTTGGCGTCTAGTCATGTTGGCCACATGACCACGAAAATGTCTTTGGACAGCGCTGGCTCTTCAGCTTGGAAATGGAGATGAGCACTGCAACCTTCGAGTCGTATTCGACTGGCTTTCGAGCAAGGGAAACCTTTCCCTTTCCCTTTTACCATTTTGTAAACATCCAATGCAAACCTATTCAGCAGGCATTCACAGCTTGGCATGAACCAAACACACGAGGCTCATGTCAGATCAACACCTTTAAACGTGGCAAGTTCAGCTGTCAGACACACCTGATGTGAAATTACTTAGTTTCAAATTTGGTTTTACAAAGTCCCAGACGGTGATGGTGGAAAGGGTCATCGAGTTGTAGCCAACTGATGGCAACCCTGCAAGGTTTTCAAAGCAAGAGATGAACAGAGTTGGTTTTCTATTGCCTGCCTCTGCCTAGCAATCCTGGACTTTCTTGGTGGTCTCCCATAACCAGGTCTGACTCAGTTTAGCTTCTGAGATCTGACGAGATTGGGATGATTTTGGCCGCTAGGAAATTTAATGCTCTTGTTGGTTCTCCAACAGTTAACTAAAGAATTGAGCTAGGATTCCAAGACAGACAGGAATAAAGCCGCACTTTTCCCTGCCCTTCTCTCCAGTGAAAGAGTCACTGGCGTTTACTGGGGTTTGCTTCTTTGTAAGGGGAACTGAAGTTTGTGAAAGCTGCAAACTTTGGGTACTGGGGAGAAGACAAGAAAATGAGGTCTTGGGTAGTTAAATAAAAGTGTGGAGCCTTGAGTCCTTTCTCCCCTCCCCTAATCATCGTAAGTCTTCACCAACGGTGAAAGCAGTTTATAACTTTGCATCTAATCCTCATGGAATGCAGAGTCTGTGCAAAGTCCTTCAGTGTTTCACTCTGTTTAATATGCAACTTTTCGTACCTTATTAATTCACTATTTTCTCCAAGGCAGATCACACAGATGCTATTCGATTTCAAAGTCTACATTTACAAAAAAGCACATCAGAGGGTTATCTGTATATGTCTGTTGCAGTAAAAAATAAACAGGAGCCCTGTGGCACTTTAAAGACTAACAAAATTCTATTCCAGCATAACTTTTTGTGGTCTTCAACCCTCTCGCTCATATGCTTATGCTAGAATAAAAATCCAATCCAAACTAAATTCTTCACTCTTTAGCCATTCTTGCATCTCTACTTAAATATATAAACATTCATCCAAATATAAAACTTTTCTTCTTCATCTCCATTACCCCGATGGGCTGGTTATTTCTGACAAGAGAGATGTCATAAGGTTTTGGATTATTATATTATTATTATTTTTACCTTTGCTTCAATTTGCTTAGTATCTGGATTTTGGAACAAAAATTTGATTTTACTCTTGCCATCGTCTGAAGAACCTTTAAGCTGGGAAAACTTGTATCTCCATAGTACAGCCTACAGGAAACAAAATCACAGAAACACATCAACATACCAAATAGAAGGGGAGCAAAATATCCTGCCTAGTATCCTTCTAAATTACCAATCCTATGAAATTAAATGCAACAATGTCTGAAGCCTCTTCGGTTATAAAACTGTATTATACTTTGACAGTGTCTTGTTCAGAGATTTTAGCTGTGAAACATTCCTTGAAACTCTTTAATTTTACTGTCACTGGGGGTGGGTTTTATGCCTTCTCTAAATAAGGTTGCATCATCTTTGAAAACCCAGGTCTTCAGTTTGGGCATGATGCTTGATCTATTGCTGCCACTTACTGAGATTGTAACAACATCCAGATTATACTATTGTAATGCATTCTACATATGACTGCCTTAAAATGTTTCAGAAAAAGCAGATGGTCCACAACATAGCAGCCAGATTGCAGGGGCATGGTCAAATTGTCACTAACATGTTTCTCCTCCCTTGTTTCATCTGTGTTGGTTTCCAGTCAGTTTCCAGGCTCTACTCAAAACTCTGGCTTTGATATTTAAAGGCCTCAGTGATCTGGGATCACAATATTTTAGGAATCACCTTCTCCCATACAGATCTACCTGTATGTAGAGGTCATCTTCAGAGGTCCTTCCATGTGTGCCCCCATCACTGGAGATAGGGTGGTTGGCCACAAGGGAGAGGGTCTATTTGATAGTCATGGATCTTTCCCCTCTTCCTTCTTCATGGATCTTTAGCCCTGGACAGGCCTGTGGCCAGGATTTTTGTAATTCGGGGGGACTTTAAATAAGTCAGGGGGCACTGACGTCATAAAATAAAAAATAAATTTGTAATATATTTTTTAAAAACTCACTTTTGCAGCGTTCGCACTCGGCCTGCCTATGTGAGGAAGCAAGCTGTGCTTGGGGAAGTGGCGGTGTTGGGGAGTCCTTCAGGCAGCCCAGAGAGTCAGGAGTCCTCCAGGTAGCCCAGAGAGTCAGGGGCCTGGGGGCTGGATGGAAGTTGTGGGGCCTTGGCAGAAAGTCGGTGGGCCAGGCCCCGAAATGCCCCACTGTAGCTATGGGCCTAGGCCTGGATCTTTTCCATCTCTCTCTCACTCCTTCATTCCCCAAAAAGCTGATGGTCAGAGTCCTGAGAGGCACATGGAAAAAATATCACAGAGAATGGCTGTTCTGGTGAAACTGGGTGACAAAGTCCCCACTTCCATCCTGTGTCCAGAAACCTCTGGCATAATTGGAAAATCCACCACAGATAAGTGAACAGAGTAAATGTCACCTAATACGGATTCTTCACAGCAGCAACCAAGTCCCTGTGGCATTTTCTCCATTGGGATTCTAGTGACATTAAATATCAGCTTTTCAGAGGTCTCAGGAGATTGGAAAGATCCTTGTACATAGCCACCCTTGTGCTTGTAGTTCCAAGAATCCAAACTGTTGTCAGATAAGGTGGTGAATTTTAACAAATTTTATTTAACCATTGCCTTTAAACTAGAACTTAGTACATGAACAGTACAGTTAGTCCACTGAAGTTAATCGGCTTAGAAAGGTATAACCAGGGGTCGTTTTATAGAAAAAGAGCTAGGGGAACTAATTAGCATAACTCATTAGCATACGCCACATCCCCTGACATTACCGGAAGTGTGTCATGAGGCCACACCCACTGACATCACCGGAAGTGTGTCATAAGGCCACACATCCCGCCCCCAACGGTCCCGGCTGCCACCGCCGGCCTTGCAGCTCCACTGCCGAGCCCCATGAGGGGCCCGGCGGTGGACCGGCGGGAGTGCAAGGAAGCCCCGCGAAAACCCTCCCTGGCCCCAGGCAGGCAGGGGTGGGGAGAGGCAGGGAGGAAGCAACTTACCCTCCCTCTTCTCCTGCCTCCTCCTGGCTGAATGAGGGCCAGAAGCGGGGCGGCCGGAAGCAGGGGGGGTTTCTTCTTCATGTGCCTCGCCCCCCATACCTCACCCGGGAGAACTGCGATCCCCCGCGATCCCCCCCCGAAATGACCTCTGTCTGTTTGCTACAAAAAAGA